CCCCCCCCCCCCCAGTAAGGACCAACTGTTGGTACTGTCTCATGCCTTTCACACTTGATCTAGCCTGCTACCGCGTCCTGGAGTCTCCAGGGAGCTACACATTTGCGCTGTGAGTTAGCCATCCCCTACTGTGGCCGCCTTTTCCCCTGTGAACACTGGCAGTGAGTCACCTCTGTGATGTCTTTTATTTTTGCAGAGTGCATTTCAGGAGCGTAGATCACATCCTAGGAATTGCAGGACACTCTGGACCCAGAATCCCAGACTGTACTGCCCTCCCTTTCTGCCGTGGGGCGATGCTCCAGGCCTCCCGGGAAGGACAGAGTGCTTCTGGTCCCTGGCTTAGCTGCATGGGACAGGGGGCCAGGTCTTGGGGCTGTGTGCTTTGGGGTGAGCAGAGGGAGAGGACAGCGGGGGTGATCCTGCCGGGCTTGCGTGTGAGATTCAGGAGGCCGAGGCAGAGACCTTGCATTTCCCACCAAAACCTAATCAGGCTTTTCTGAAACTTTTGGCTTGAAGCCTAGGCATTAAACGGCCTGTTTGTTCTTTTTCTTTTTTCCTTAAATTTAATTTGTCATATATAAGGTTTTTATATACAATCAGTGTGATTGTAACAGTTAATTAAAGTCAACCGTTTGTCTAAAATGTTGACACGGTTGCATGCACATTTGACATTATTGCCCACATGAAAAGGGAAAACAAATGGATTTACAGTAATATTTGGCCATTTGGATGCTGACAGCCATATGCCTACCCTTTTAAACTAAATGCATCTGAAAAAAATGTTTCCAGAGTATGAAGTTTAGATTTTCCATATTATCTCATCATTTTTTTCTTTTACTACAAACATGGTATTGACGAAAAGCGGGGGAGGGGAGTAACATGTATCTAATAAAGTATTCAACATAAAAAGGACCAATGGAAATGAGTGGCCCGTTCCCCGTTTTTACGTTCTAAACAATGATTCCATCAAGACAAATCATTAAAAAGTGTTATTACCTTGATTGTTTTTTTATAAGAAGGCCTGAGTTGGCAGAGAAAAGAATAGTAAAAACAAAAACAAAAACAAAAAGCAACAGCTGCCTGTTGGTTTGAACCAGGATATAGCCATGTCACAGGGGAAAACCTCTAAAGATGTTTTTCAAAGATTTGCTAAAGGTAATTAGGGTACACCTGGAACTGAGAAGCATCTGCGTCAAATGGCAAATATTTTAAAGAGCTAATTCCAAAGGTAGCTTTAGTTAAAGGCCCAGAAATTTGTTTTCCCTCGTTTTGCTGAAGGAGGAAGACCCTCCACGCTGCCCCCAGCTTCTTGCCACTTTGTCTCCTCGGCCCGGGGCCTGAGTGGCCTTAGTTGGCCCTGCAACCCAGGAAGCTCAAAGCTTGTGGGGAAGAGACTCAAAAGGTGATAGTGGGCCCGTGATGGTGAACCTGTTAGAGCTCTTGGCGATATAAACAGCCCACGGTGCCAAAGTTCACCACCACTGTGGACCTAGGCCACACCAGAAGCAAGTGAATCTCACACAGATGTCAGGAAACAGCCACCTGGGGGCTGCTTCTGTGGCAGTGACATCCTTCTAACTGGTTCTCAACTACCCTCATTTAGGGCTGTGGTATGTTCATTATCTCCAATTCAACCCAAATTTTGTCGGTGCTATAGACAAGAAAACAAAACAAAACAAAAAGTAGTACTGGAGCAGGAGTAATGGTGCATGCCTATAACCCCACTTAGGAGGCTAAGACAGGAGCATCTGAGGTCCAAGGTCGGTCAGCAACTTAGCAAGACTGTGCCTCAAAATAAAAGGAAAAGGTCTGAGGATATAGCTCAGTGCTTCCTGGGTTCAATCTCCAGTACTACCCCAAACACCCCCTACACACACGTGCTCTTTAAGTCCAAAATGCATCTCACTGAAGAATTATGGAATTTAGTTCCCTTTGGTGACTAGGAAAGACCTCCCCCTCCACCCAAAAAGTCCCTCACAGAGCAGCTAGTGTGCTTGGCTCCACTTACAGCCTTGATTCCATATACACCGGGGCAGGTGTTGCCTTTAAAGCCTAGGATTTAGAGTGGTGTGTTCTTCCCAGCAACACCAAGACCAGGACGCTGCCCAACTTGGAAAAGCTGGACTTCGTGATCCTCAAAAGAATGTGAACCCGCTGGGTTTGGAAAGCTGTTCTCTTCTGGGACCCAAAGAAGCACCTGTGCTTCCTACACACCAGGTTCACGGGTCTGAGAACCACAGCGCCTCCAGGTCCGGGGCCTGAGTGTAAGCAAGCCATACTGAGTCTGAGGAAAAGGAAAGAGTGACAGGGTGAGATTGTTGATTCCAGGAGGCACAGAGCAGCCTACGGAGGGCAGGTGAGACAGGTGAGTGTGCGGAAGGCGGGGGAGTGGTTTTAGGGGTGTCTACGTGTGGTGAGGGAAGGTGGGCAGGGTCTTGTAGAAGCCGCCTAGCGTGGGTCACCCCAGCTCAGAGTCAGGAGGTTCCGATCACTTCCTTCTTAGAATCAGTGCTTCTGTACGCCCAGTCTGTGCTCTAATCAGGTTTATATCATCGTACATTAACACTTTCCACTAACTCAGGAGCTAGATTCCAATCAGCCTTCAAAACACCTTCACAATCACTTTCCTATGTTCAGGTGTGGAAACCGAGGCCACAGGGGGTGGAGAGATTTGCCGAACACCGCACAGCTAGTTCCTACCGCACTGGGGCTGGAGCTGGGCCTCCCTCACCGACAGTCCTCGGTGCGCCCTCGGGGCTGGTTCTGCTGAGTCAGTGCCTTGCCATGGCCTTGGCAGAGTGGCCGCGGAGAGCCTGGTGAGCCCAGGAACTCGGCTACTAGAAGGTATCACCTGGGCCAGGACTTTGAGATTTTATAATACAAAGATACATAAAGCGTCATATATGAAAGAGTCCTGGAGAAATCCAAGGAGATGAGGCCCAAGGCGGGATGGTGCTGCTGGTGGCCTGGCTCTGGGGTGTGGCCCGCCCACTCCCGGCCCAGGCGCCCTCGAGTACACATGGGAAGCGGGTAGTAGGAGACCACTGGTAAGTAGAGGCTTTGGGCCTTTCATTCTCACTTGTGTTTCCATGAAAACAGGAACTGAAGTGCTCAGAGCTATTGATACGGCTACAGTCATGTGTTTGTCGGAGCAAAGGCCCTATCAGCTGTCGCATCTGTCCCCTCCCACTGAAGATGAGGGCGGGGGTGACAGATGCCTAGCAGGCAAGCAGGGATGAGGGCCCTGCTCAGCAGGGCAGCTCCAGGCCCCAGGAGGGGACAGCGCAAGCCAGGTCTCCGGACAGCCAGCCCGGCAAGTGCCAGGTGACGGACGGGGAAGAGGAGAGGCCCTGAGATACGTTTTCTGTTGCCATAGGAAGTTTCTTAGACAAAGTGAAAGCTCCCTCAACCCGTAATCTCAATATCTGTTGTTGTGAGAGTATTTGGGTTTTCAGAAACGCACGGGCCAGAACAACCCTTTCGTTCATCAGGCACTTGTGAGGGCCTCCTACGTGCTCGGGGCCACCACACAGCCAGACAACACCCTCAAGAGTTTTTCTTTGCCTCGTTTTTCCTCCTAGTTAGTGTCACAGAATCCAATCTATAACACTTCTTCTGAATCTCACGAAACCAGAAACTCCAAAACAAGTTTCAAGATCAGAATTCTCATAGTACAAACACTACCAACCCTCACGGTTCACTTGAACCTCCTCACTTTCCTTAAAGGATCTTGTTTAAATGCTTGAGGACACCCGCTTCCCAAGCCACCCATCTGCCAAAGTAGACCAGGGAACAGCTTCTTACCTTGGGCCCGGCAAAGACATCAGCAACAGCCAGCTCAGAACACAGAGTCTTGGTGCAGGCGGAATAACAGAGCGAGAGAGTTAACCTCCACAGGACACAAACCCCACCCAGGCAGCTCTCCCTCCCCTGCCCTGACAAGGGCCCCACAACCCCCAGAAGAAAGAGGCAGGGGAGGTTGCTCTCCCTGCTCCCTGCCCTCCTCCCAGCCACTGGCCACTACCTTCTCTAGCAGCTGTGTCCCGTTCCCGGTCTAGAACGCCCGGTCATCAGGAGAGACGGGCTTACCTTTTGGCTTGAGAGCACATTCAGATCATTGATGATTTCTTGTAAGGTGTCGTTGCAGCCATGGAAGGTGTCGGCACATGCTAGTAAGCAGAACAGAGCGACTGTCAGCTGGGGGACCAGACCCATCAATAGATCTCTCTTGGCAGTGACAGCGTGGGACAATTAGTTTATCAGGGGAAGCTAACAATGCAGTTCTGACAAAGATATCTCTATATATAGATTTAAAATTGCTGAAACCAAGGGAAAATGAGTTTACATTGGAAATTTTTGTTACACCAGATTGTCAGTCGTTTGGGGCCAATCAGTGCCTCTCTTCCAGGAGAAAAAATGCCTCACCAAAACAGGTTAAATGTTCCTGTGAAATCAGACCAAGAGGAAAATGAAACCTTTTTTTAAAATTAACTACAAAGTTTCAGCATAGGAAATTACACCATAATTTGCTCTTTAGATTAATCTTATCAGTTTGGGGTTGGTGCTGCCTTTTTGCTTTGCATAGGAGGAAGAGGCCACAGGTGTCCGAGTTTGTGCTAGTGCAGGAAAGATAGAGTGGGGAAAGATAGAGTAATATCAAGAAAGTGACTTGCATGGTATTGCAACCTGGCCTCTTCCAGGTATGGGCGGTGGGGCACCTGGAGACTCTCCTGTCACAGCAGAGCTGAGAGGGGACTCTTCTCCCAGTGCAGCGAGGGCCACAGGCTCGGACAACGCCTGACCTAGTACGGGGCTTGCTGCTCTTCAAGGTGAAGTCTTTGGAGAGGGACAGGTGACCTAAGGTGGACCCAGTTTGGGTCCCAGCAGGCCCTGTGGTCTTTGCCAACAAGGAGGCCCTGGGCCAAGTCGAAGTTTAACCATCCCAAGGTTTCAGCAATGGCCGCTTTTCAAGTAGAGTTTAAACACGGCGTCAGCTAAGTAGAAAAAGGAGCGGCAAAGCTTCCTGACTCCCTCGTGGGTCAGTCCTCTCTGCCCATGCCCTGTGCTCTGGAGCGGTACTCCTCACCCTGCCACTCCGCTGGGTACTAAAGTCCCCACTCCCCTCTGCAGCAGGGGTCCCAGGGCCCGGTATGTGCACTGTGTTTTCCCCACAGCCACTTTCTCTGGGTCCCTGGTCTGGTTTCTGATCCATGGTGTGATGTTCTCTACATGATCACCTAGAAATGTCTGTTGCTAAGGTGATACGTTTTGCATCTTTTTTCTTCATGTTAAATTATTGACAACACTTGTGTATATTTATAAAATCTATACATTGTGGAACTGCCAAAGCAAGCTAATGAGCAAATGCCTTAGTTACTTGTGACGAGATCACTAAAGAGCTACTCTGCAGAATTTATGGACCAAGTTTTCTTGTTAACCACAGCCTGGCCTCCCTTGAGCTTCTCTCTCTAATGGGACATTGTATCCCTTGTCTCCCCAACCGTCTTCTCCCTCCTCCTGGTGACTCCTGTTCAGCCTCTGCTTCTGTGATGTGTTTGTATCCCACAAGCGGGAGACACTGCACGGTGTCCTGCAGGCTGGTGCCATGAGTGTCTGTGTACAGCTGTGGGTTTCGTCCGCGCTGCTGCCCTGTGAGGCGGGAATCTGGACAGTGCTGGTCCCAGCCCAGGCTCAGCATCCTCCCCCGGGGCTGCCAACCTGAATGTGGTGCCTTGTGACACCCACTGTCTGCAGGTGTGAGGCTCGTGCTCCACCAACTGCTCCTCCGGATGCCAGCCACACATCCAGGGGTCTCCAGTCCACTCTCCTGACCCACTAGTTACAAATGTGGGATTCTCACTCCCCCAGGGGTCTGCTAGAAGGACTCGGAGATCTCAGGCAGGTGCTATAGGTGAGGTCTTCCTCCAGAGCACAAGATATATGTAAGAACCTGCCCAAAGAGGCGGCTGGGAGGGTGGGTGCAGCTCAGAGCCTTGGGGTCTGCACCCAGGCAGGCGCAGCGCCCAATGGCAGGCAAAGTGTCCCTCCTGGTGGAGCCTGGAGTCCTTCCCGGAAGCAACCCCAGCGCACAGGTGTGGTTGAGGGACCTGCCCCCCCCAGGCATGGCGGACCCCCAGGAGCTCAGGGCCTGGCCAGATCTAGCTTCTGTCGTCTTGGCAGCTAAAATGTAAGGCAGCTGCCTCTTTGGCCTTGGGTAACACTGCTTCCTCACTGTGCAGACTGTGGGAGAGTCTGTAGACCAGCCAGTTCTTCCAGGATAGGTGGGGATCCCCCCTTGTTTCTCTCCCCCACTTCCTCTCCTTCCTGTCCCGCTTCACATCCTGCACACACTGGGCCAGTGACCTTCTATCCCTACATCCTGGCCCCTTCACCTTACCTCCAGACAGAATGTTTCTCAGTTTCCCCGCTCGGCTTCCAACTCGCAACCCTCTGGCCAAGGACACAGGAGCAGCCACTGAACAGGCTGTGGGGGAGGCAGGGTGGAGAGGCCCGCTGACGGGGAGGCTGGCTTCCCCGGGGTCTGAGAGGCCCTCTGAGCACCATTCAGGGCTGGACCTAGGGCTGAAGGGTCCCTGGACAGAGAGGGCAAACCAAACGAGGAGTGTGATGTGGGAACCTCCAGCTCAGAAACAGAGCGAGGCTCGTTTGACTCTGTTCCAGTGGTTGAATGAGAGAACTTCCCTGAACCTGCAGAAGTGACCGTGAGGGTCCCTGGAAGAGCAGAAGCACGTGGGCCATCCCACCCCACAGAACTGTGGAGCCATGGGTGTGCTAGCCACATAGAGGTTGCGAAGGTGGGTGCTGTGCTTTGGGGGGCCTGGTCTTCCAGGAGTCGTGGGTGGTGCAGGTGGGTCCTAAGGTCAGGGAGGAAGTTGAGGACTCGGCTGGTCTCCGGCCGGGCCTGTCAGACCCTTGTCTCTGGCCTACGGGAGAGCTGAGAACCAGCACCTGCCCCTCTGTGGCCCCAGAGCCCTGCTCTCGGGCCCCAGAAAGTGGCATTTGTGTTGTGGAGTCCAGCAAACGAGCCACCTGTCCTCCCTGTGACCTTGGATGAACTGCACACCCTGGGGCTCAGTCTCACAGCTGGAATGGGAATCGCGTGGCCCTTCCTCCCGGGATTCCTCCAGGATCGAGGAAGCCACTCCGCAGACCGCACTGGCACGTGTCACTCCAGAGGCCACCGTGGCACCGCAGTTGGGAGAGTGGACTCTGGACCCCCACAGCTGGTCAGGCCTGGGTGCTCTGTGTCCTCCCCGTGCTGCCCTGTGCACAACCACAGCTGCATCTGTGAAATGGCAGTGACAGCTGTACCTGGCTCTCGAGGCTGAGCGGTGAGGGGCTTAGAGCTGCACCTGGCGTACAGTGAGCGCAGTGTAGGTGACAGCACTATCGGTGTTATCCTTATGGCTCTCGTTATTAATCTTCGGTGGATCGCATGTCTGTGGCAGCTCACACAGCGGCAGACCGAAATCAGCGGGGTGGTGGAGTTTGGCCGGGTGCGCGCGCCCTGTCTTGTCCAGCTCACAGGTCGCTTCCTCATGTCGGTCACAGCTGCCACTTGTGAACCTGCATCTGTGGCAGCAAACTCTGCCTTGGCATTTCAGTCAGGAGAGGGAGCAGTGCTGCTAACCGTGCGGGTCTGGAGGAGCAGGAGTGCTCGGGGCTTGGGTGTTGGGCGGCACCGCTCACCCCCAGAGGCTGCCCTCTGGCTCCCTGCCCCTTACATGACTGCGCTGGTGGGAGACCTCACCTCCCCACAGCCCAGGAATAGGAGGATGTGTGGGCCGTGGCCGGCATCACATCCGTGGCTCAGGGGAGAAGCCAGTCCCTGAGGGGAGGCTGAGAAACACCCCTGTGGGCTCCGGCCTTCAGACTCGGCAGGAAAGGAGAGAGGGCGGTGGGCAGAGCAGCCAGTGAGGACCAGGCTGACTGTCCTGCCGCACCTGGCCAGCCTGCAGGGGTCCTGCTGTCCCCCCAGCCCTGCCTTCCCTTTGCAGCTCTCCCAGGTTCAGGGAGGAAGTGAGTCTGGAAAAAGTGTGGGGAAGCTGGTGGGGGGCTGGAAGGCAGGCGACCGAGGCCCCAGAGAAGCTGAGCCTGGCCAGTCATCCACAAGGAGGTGGGCAGGGGCAAGGATGGCTTGGATCTGAGTCACTTACACCTGCTACTGTCCAGGTTAAGGCCTGGAGCCCAAAAGACCAGACGCCCCTCTGAGTGACCTTGGGAAAATGACCCTGTCCTGGCCATTTGTCAACTGTGGTGGTACACAACAGATCACACACTCAGGAGGCCGAGGCAGGAGGTGCTCTTGAGTTTGAGGCTAGCCTGAACCACACAGTGAGAGTCTGTCTCAAAAAAACAAGAGGAAAAAAATAGTGGCTCCTTAGAGAGCAAGAGGCGGGGTGGGAATAATGAGCTGCCACGGCTCTGACACCCGAGAGCTGTGCGCAGAATGACAGCTCAGGAGTGTGACGGGGGTGGAGGGAGACCGAGATGACCGCAGCATTCAGCCCCAGCAGAACCCAGGGAGGAGGTTTTCAGAAAGGAGAAGTGAGGGCCAGCGTGGTGTATGGCTGTCATCAGAGGGGAGCGAGTGGCCAGGCCGTTGGCAGGAGGAGGGGAGACGATAAAGAGGCAGAGGCATCAGCTGCAGTGGGTGTGTGGTCTGGAGAGACACGGTGCACCGCTGGGGCCGGCTCAGGGAGGAGACAGCACTGGCCGGCCCTTGAGGGGCTGCGCGACCAGACCTGGGAGCCCCTTTTGAAATATTTGAAAATTTCTATGATAAAAAGTTTCTATTTTGTATGGGGCTGGGCTAGGTGTAGAGAGTTTGCCTCTCACCTACAGGTCTTTGTTTGATCCTCAGCACCCAAAAAATCAAGACTTAAATGGACGGTAAAATACTTATTAAAATATACGTATTGGTCTGTTCTGTTACGAGCTATCATTTGTGCGCACGCATTTGTGTACCTAGAGAATACACGGCATCCACACAGCTGTCTCACAGGATGTGAGCGCCTTGCCTCTCCTGCAGGACCCGGCTCCCCAGCCTGCTCCTGCCCTGTGCCCCTCTTTCCTCCAGCATGGTGGCCAGACTGGCTCTCTCAGCCCACTCAGCCTGTGGCCTGGCCGGGCCGAACTCCTCCCACCCCAGCTCCGCCCAGGTCTCCGAGTACAGCTGGGTCCCTCTGCTTGGGCGCCTCTGCTCGCTCTTTCCTCCCGCTCTCCTTCCCTGCTTTCCTCCACCTGCCCCTCTGTCATTGGGGAGGATCTCTTGGGGCCCCAGGACTACTGACCCGTGAACTGGAGGGTGAACAGTAGAGCTTCGGTGCCCAGAGGCAGCTGAGCCTTGGCCCAAGTGATGACGCCAGCGTCAGGGACTCAGCAGAACTTGAGGTCAGGGCTGACGTGACCCCACAGTGCCGGGGGCGCATTCTGCACAGAACGGGGCCTGGTGCGGAGGCCTGGTGGCAGAGAACACAGGACAGGGGCTGCGTGGGCACCTGGCTTCTCCTTTTTGCCCCAGCCCTGGGGTGGCCTCACAGCCGCCTGCTGTCCCAGTTCCCCTGCCCCAGCCCCCGGGCCGGATGGAAAGCCCAGAGCAGCGCCCCCCTCTGGTGTCTGCCCGCACAGCAAGGTCTGCGGTGCCCCACAGGCCCCAGCTCTCCTCCCGGGACGCCACTAGCCTCACCCGCCCGGGTCCTGATCAGCTCCCTCCAAAGACCAGGCATCGTCTTCCCGGCTTTTTGTTTGGTCCGTTTGTCCCTGCTTCCTGTTGGGAAATGCATGTGTGGGCCTTGCAGAAGGTGTGGGACACAGATGAGAGGAGCGTGCGGAAGAGGCTGCTCTTCTGGATGTGCTGACCCCGCGGGCACCCGCTGGAGATGCCGGGCAGGGCAGGTGTCCCCGGCCTTCTGGCCAAAGGGTCACCGGGTCAGGGGAGGCAGGTGTGGAGGGGACACCGGCCTGGGGCCTTCCTCCCCCAGGGTTGTGGGAAGGGTGGCGCGGCCCCCGCGCACTGGTCCAGAGTGACGAGAGTTGCTATTTTAATTCTGGGCCTGCGTCACCTCAGAGCTCGGGCTGGGGAGTTTCTGATGCTGCTGCGAGAGAATCACTTTCCACAGAGAAGGCGCTGTGGAGAGGAAAGCAGAGAGAGCAACAGAAAGTGAGGTCGTAAGTAGAAAATCGCTTCTGGGATTTCAAATGGCTTCGTCATGGGGCCCTCCCTGGCTGCTGAGAAATCAGTTGATCTGGGAAAGTTCGTTGCAAACCTTGTGCCTTGTCGCTCTGGGTGGAGCTGAGAAATGAACGCAGATAATGAGGCCTCGTGACTTTTATTTTTCAGAATAAGAGAGGGCAGTGCACAGGGGGGTGCTGTAGAAGCCTCAAGCCGTGGCCAGAGTGAACACACCAGGGACACAGCTGGCCTCTGCCCTAGCTCCACGGGAGGAGAGGCCAGGGGTGCGGGCGGGCGGGCGGGCGAGAGTGCCACTGCTGGCCAGCCGACGTGAGGCAGAGCAGAAGGTGCCCTTACCTCCCTGCTGCTGCACTGAACTGATCAGCTGACATCTTGGGAACCCTGAGCCTCAGGCCGCTCCTTGGTTCCAGGAGGCCGGTGCAGGCCTCGTCCCCACGCCCGCTCCTCACTCCTCAGAGAAACCCCCAAGTGGCTTGGAGAGTGTTCTGAGGGCTCAGCGATGCGGGGTTCACCAGAAACTAGCGTGTCTGTCTCACTTCTCGCTTGAGCTCTGGCCCCTCTTCTAGAAAAGTCTCCTGGGCCTGGGGTTTTGGGGTGCTGAGAGGCCCCCCACCCTGGACCCCTGACAGCACCTCACTCATCCGGCACTCTGATCTCCTCTCCCTGGGCCCTGCCGAGGGTTTGGCCTGTGATGAGGGCAAGCTGTGGCAGGCTGGAGACAGTTTCCAAATGAGGATGCCAGGGTTTTGTCCTAGCCTGGGTGGCTGACCACACCTTTCCTGTTCCTCCTCTTCCTCTCTTTCCTAACTGGGTCACCTCGCTTGGCTCTCAGAGCTCACTGCGCCCTGCTGGAGATCCCAAGTCCCCTGCCTGGAGGACAGTCACAGAAGTCCAAGGCCAGGACCCCAGGCCCGGGGAGGAGGTGGCGTGCTGTGGACCTCTAGTGGCAGGGCCCTGCGCGGTTGTGTCTTCCCTGAGCACTGTCTGCCAGGCCCTCTTGCAAGAGGTCCTTGGAAATAGTCCGCTGGGACCCTGCCCCCATGAGTCTCAGTGCCACGCTGTGCTCTCTAGGGATCCTGAGGGACTTCCCTGGAAGTATTTCTGGCTTCTTTTTGGACGGGCAGGTCAATGTCTTGGTTGTGGAGAAGGCACTGGTCAAAGATGATGCTCCAGACAAGGGACCACCAAGTTCTGTTTTAAAATCAGAATTTTCTCATACACAGCCTTCCGTGCAGCCCAAACCCTGCCCGACAGCCCGTGCTGCTTCCGCCTTCTCCCAGCTGGGTATCCCGGCGGCCTGTGCCCCCACCTTGGCTTCCCCTCTCCTCTCTACTGAGTAGCAATGAGGTGACAGAGTGGAGAAACCTACAGAGTCAGTCACAGCCATCAGCCCCCAGCCACGTCTCTGCTGTTGCTTGGATGCTGTGGGACCTTGAACTTTGTCATGGGCTCTGGGCATCCTGTGAGGCACCCGCTATCGCCCAGGATTTGTGTCCGGCCCCTGATAACCTGCCACCCACTGCAAAGGCAGGGTGTCCTCCCTGAGATGCTGTGGCTGTGTCCCTGAGCCTGGGCCCGCTGGCCCCAGCACATCATCCAGGGAGCTGCAGAGACCGCCCTGGGAGCCATCCGGACAGGCCCCTGGGGATCGGCTCCGTGCCAGTCCCCATGGCACGGGGGTGAGTGTGCGCCTGCTGACCGGTGACTGTCCACACACTGACGGGAAGCAGGGATGACCCTCAGGGAGGCCCCGAGCAGACTGGGGCCCGTCTCTGCGGAGAAACGGTGCACCTATGGAGGTGACATTGGGGCAGAGAGACAGCAGTTGAGAGTGTGGGCTGTCACTGGTGTGCCTCTCCGATCTGGCTTTGCTTCTTGCCCGCCTGTGACTGGCATGCCACCTCCCTCCACCGAGCCTGAGTCCTCGGGCCCCAGGCTGTGTCAGTCCCTGACCACACACTTCCCTCCCTTGGGGCCCGGGGCTTGTCCTTCAGGCCGTCTCCCCTCCAGCCAGCCCACCTCCCACAGAGTTCCTCAGAGTCTGAGACCGAAAAAGAGGCAAACATCAGCAGGCCTATGTGTCACCATCTTTATTTCAGATTTCCAGTTGACACAATCAATGAAACAGCTTGTTCAGAACCCCCACCCCACCCGACACAGCGTTCCCGCATAAACTTAGTCAATACTTCTGTTTAAATACTTCAGGGATAAGAAACAATAAATTACTCCTTGGCTGAGGGCTGGATGCTGGCTGCTTAGGCGGGGCCTGGAGGTGCCAGGCCCCTGTGAGGTAGCAGAGTTGTGCACAGTACGTATTTCCAGGCCTCTCACTGCGTAGGGCCAGAGCCCCAGGCCTTGGGGCCCTCAGGCAGCACAGTGTCCCCCATCCCTTATACCGACAAACACGCATTTAAATAACACACAATAATAAATAAGAAATGTGCCCAGGCCGCGCTCTGCGGGAGGCGCCCCGTGTGACATGCATCCCCAGTTTGGCAAGGGTGGTACCCGTGACAGCACCACAGCGTGCTCGGAGCGTCGGGACTGGTGTGACCTCTCCGAGCTCAGAGCCCGTCCCGGGTACCCCGGCAAGGGGCCTGCTGGGCAGTACAGGCTGAGGTCCGAGCTAAGACGACCTTCCCTCCCTCCCCACCCACCTCCCCAGGAGCTTCTGATGTCAGACAGAGAAATGGATTTGCAGCATAAATATCAGCGCCTGTCTCTGCCGGCTTCGTGCCTCAGTTGAACTTTCCTCCGTGATACATTTTCTGTAAATACCTGAGCAGATTCTTCACGAACTGGGCCACTTCAATTTTGGTGTCTCGGTTATGGAAGCTGGAAATCTGTGTGGGACAGTGGGGAGATAAGAGGCAGCCCGCAGCCCCTGGGGTTTTCCGGGGCCATCTCACTGAATCCTCAGGAAGTCCCCACCGGTAGGGTACTGGTGTTTCCCGTATTTTACAGAGGCTCAAGTAGGAGTCAGGAGCCCTCAAGGCCAGGTCTTGTAAACCCCAAAGTCCACATCCGGCTTGCACAGCAGGCCCACCCCAGGGTGGACGCGTGCTGAGGGCTCACTTACCTTGGCCACGGCCTTGTGCTGCTGGCACAGACTGTTCAGTATCTTCTGGGTCCTGTTCAGGGCGCTGCAGCTGGAGACGTTGATCAGGGACTCCCGGGCTGCGCAGTACCACTGGGAGGAAACTACAGGATCAGGGGCCCTGAGCCCTGCCTTCAGGGCGTCTACAGGAAGGGGTGGGCCAGAGGCCTGGCAGAGGTGTGTCTGGACATGGGAAGGCCCAGCCGCCAAAGCCCAGGGCTCAGCAGAGACCAGCCCGGGGCCTGCTGCCACCCCCAGCTCCCGAAGGTCCTTACCATGCCCACTGTCAGGTTGACACTCCACACCATGCTGCCATTGCAGAGGGGAATCTGTGGAAACAAAGAATCAGTGAGCGGGGCCAGTTCCCCACAAGGGCAGGTCCAGCAGGCGCCCTGCTAGAGCCCAGAGTCACGCCTGGCAACTCCTTGACAGCCCCAAGCTTCACTTCTCTGCCTGAGAGGCTGGGAGGTTTGTGAGGAGAACTTGGATTTAGTCCTGGAGCCGAGAGAGACAATCTGAGTGACAAAACAGGTAAAGGACAGGCCTTACTTAAACGCCACTGTAGCCAGGGTAGGGGACCGTAGAGGAGGGTTGGGCCTGGTTGGGGACCGGAGGCCAAGGCTGGTATCAGCCAGGAAAAATCTGCCTCTGGAGGGGGCCCTGCCATGTCAAACACAGATGTGCTGGGGTCGGTCAGGCCTTTGCGAATCTGGCCGCTGTCTACCTCACTGAACCTTACTTAGCAAAATGGTGTCCTTGTGCCCACCTCTGGAGAGGGGGACACCATACAGTGTCATGTTAAGCACCCAGCACATGATCAGTGCTTGGATAGCAAGAGTGCTGCCTGTGGAGAGAGGAGCTGTCTCCTCGTGAATCCTTCCGTGGAGGATGGGTTAACTAAGATGCTGTGAACAGAGCTGGATCGCTGTGTTCAAAATCCATTTGGAAAAATGGCACAGTGTTCTAGGAGGGTCCTGACATTTCTCTACTTCCCACTGCTCAGGAATGGCTCAGGAGGAGCCCTGCTGGGGGTCCGCCGGCTCCCCTCAGCTGGCTTGTCTTTCTCTGTCCCTGGGCCCGGGCCCTTGGGCCTGGGGAAGACTTCCTGACCCACAGGAACACAACCAGGCCTGACCTGCTCCCGGCCTCGTCCTGAGCCCGCACTCACCTTCTGGTCCTGTGTGATGTTGACCAGCTCCTCGATGAGCTCCTTGAGGGCCATCTGGGAAGACACTGGGCCCGGGGCGGTCAGGCCACTGAGGCAGGCAAGAGCAAGGACCACAGTCACCCAGAGCGCCATGAAGAGGGAACAGGAGGACAGAGGCGCAGGCGCGTTGTGAACTGGCCCCAGCAGAGCGGCTTGTGGCCTGGGCCTCTGGTGGCAGCTTTTATAGGACCAAGCAGTGACGCCTCAACCTCTGGTCTCGGCTGTGCCGGGCACTATCTAGAAACCACATCTCTACTCATCTTGATCTTAGTTTGTGGAAAATCCAGCATCATATAAAGGAAGGAGCTTGATTTCTCATGGAAGATCTAGGGCAGTTTCCTGTGGAGAGCATTCTACATAATTTTGGGCAAAAATCATTTCATAATTAAATCGTTGTTAGGGCTTTCTGAGGCCTGGTCTTCTCGCCCTCAGGTCAGGTTTGACACTTGGAAACATAACTCCATTTGCCTCTGGTTAAAGCTGAGGCCTCAATGGTCCCGTTATGCTGTGATGCTGAAGACATCCTGGTTTGTTGAGAACTAAGGAGTAATAAGAAACGAGAGGCACAGAGAGAACGAGCACATGGGAGAGAGGGACAGGGATTTCACCTGGGGGAGGACACATTCCTTGTTAGCCCGCTATTTCATCCCACCTGCTCTTGTAAGAACGCTGTCCCTACCGCCCTCATCCCCACAGCTTTACCGCTGCCTTCTGAATCCTGAACCCCTGGATGCTCCCTCCAATGACTGTGTGCACTCAAGAAATCGTGGCAAGCTTGCAGAGTCTTTGTCTTTGCCTTCTCTGAGGCGCTGAACTCCTGGTCCCCTACATGCTAGGAAACTATGCAAGTCTTTATGGTCTTTCTTTAGCCCAGGTTGCGCCCTTTCTCGGCAGATTGGAGGATTGATCGCCCCTTGATATTTGGTGTCCATATGCGTGAGAGGGAAGATTCCACTCCAGGACGGAAGATGTCCAAAGAGACAGTGAAAGGGAAGCACTTGGAGCCATGAATAGTTCCCGTAGCTTGGATGATGGGGAAGAAGCAGTCTATACAGCAGAAAATTACATCCAATTCTTGCATAAGCTGTTTAAACAGGCCGGAGCTCAAATTAGCCCTGGTAACTCAAATGGTGTGTGAGATTCCCATAGGTGGAATTGGTATAGCACTGGTAAACAGGGTCAGTCCAAACAACCAAAATCGGCTTCTTCCTGAACACTAGGTATTTTGCCTCAAACTGCTTAAGGAATTAAAACAAAGTGTTAATAATGGAGCTCATTTACTTTGGGTATTTCGGATTCCGTGCTGGGGACTTACCATGTCACTCCACATGGTGTTAGACATCTTGTTTCTTCTTGTTTGTCCCCTAGTCAATACTTCCATTTTAATTTACAGTTAATTTTGCAGGAGCTTGCAAAAGACCAAGCCGCCAGAAACCGGTAGGGGAATACAGCTGATGTAACCTAGGAAGTGGGCCTCTGCACGACTGTCACAACCGTTACCTTAAGGCTTGTACGGGTCTCGGTTCAGAAACTCACAGGGGGTCTGTGTTAGCTCAAGCCATGCTGGCTTTTACTGAACAAGATAATAATAATAATAAATAATGCTAAAAATGTTAAATGCTTTAACTGTGGTAAAAAGGGACACCTTCACCAACAGTGCACACCGGCAAGCCAAGGCACTAACTCTAACATCTTTGGAACTTCCCCTGATTCTAATCTGAAAAAATCATCTCCTGGGTTCCCAGCAGTGGGCCCCTGTATCCAGGCTAAAAGACATGCTCCAAAGGTGCCAGAGGCCATGCACAGACCCGAATACCTTACAAGATTAAAATCCATTTGGTTGCTGGGAGTCTTAAACAAATATATATGGCGCTTTTATCCAAAGTATATCATTTTAAAGACTAAAATATTAGAGTCTTATTCCATATAACCCCCAGAGACAATTGTCAAATGTGCCTATCAAACTTTAAAACACAACTTCTACAACAGAAAGATTTACAGCTACCTCCACAAGCTCGATGAGATCCTGTGTCTTTCATTTAAAAAATTTTAAATCCGCTTGTGGAAAGTAAATGTATTCCATTGGAACTGCACTGGCACAAGGACAAATCCACAGCCACACCCTAGACACAAGCGTTGTCAAAGGAAGCCCTAACTAAAAGGTGGAACAGCTCGATGCAATTATGGTATGGTCAGTAACCTCGAAAGAAAGCTCCTTTGATCATAATAACTGTGGACTTGGTCACTGTGTAAAAACCAGAGAAGTTTCTGGTCAGACACTACTTCATGGGCAGAGTGCCTAGAGTTGGGTACCAGTGAATCTAACGGAGACATGGGCTTACCCCGCTACATCTTATGTGTTACTCACCTCAGTGGATCATCTTGTCCACAGAACTAAAAGGTTGCTCGGCCTTATGATTACAGGAATAGTCTCGTCTCAGACCTGGTTGGCCCATACCCCTGAAAACTTTGTTATGTTAACTCTGCCATCCAAGCCCATGGCTGGAGAACAAACAGAGTCCTTCCTACCCAAATATCTGATTTATTCGGCTCATTTTACATGGAATGGATTTCATAAAGATGCAACTCCACCACGAAATGCATGTAAGGATTGATCAGGAAGATACAGAAAATTGGGACATAGGGAATTATTCATAATTCATGATGAGGACCATGGGGTAATTTAATGGGAAGAAAGGACAATCATACAGACTGGTATCATTTAAACTGGACTAACCTTGATAATGTGAGTGAAAAAAAAATGTCTCTGCTAGGGAAATAAGTTGGATAGAAGAAGGTTTTAATGCACCTTCTTCCCAGTTTTCACATTATGGAAAACTTGGACCTGCCAAAAAAACATTATGGAAATTGGCTCTTTCCTATATTGAAGGAAGCTTATGGGCTGGTAATTATCTAAAATCAGACTTGGGTAATATTACAATGTTCACAGAGTACGACTGGCCTATTTGAGTCTCCATGTGTATCTGTAACCCATATGTTTTCAGGGATGGGAATATACCATGGGCTACTAATACTTTTACCTGTCAGAAATGTTCCTTGAGTCCTTCGGATCTGTACAGAGTAAAACTCTAATGATCCTGGGTGGATGCCAGGAGTATGGGTTCCTGACTGAACCATGATCATATACACCTGCTCATTTGGTGCAAGTCCTGTTTGATCGTCTCGTACGTGGAACAAAGAGGGTGCTGGCACTGAGGGTTGCTCTGGTACTGATTTCAGAGGTAGCTGTTGGTCTGTGGTCTTGGTGCACTCCGTTCAAGAAGCTCATTTCCTAGAAAACTGGACCAAGACTGCTGATGAGGCCTGGTAGGCTTCATTCCCAAGTTGGTGTGCTTGAGACTGCTGTCCTCTGGATGGCAAATCAGACTGAAAGTTTACAGCCACAACAAGGCCTCAGGTGTCATTTTAATATTAATTGATTTTTGCATCGCTCATTGCTCCTTTACCTTATAATCATTCTAGCCACCATGGGAACATGTTAAGAAGCACGGTGGGCTGGGATTTAGCTCAGTGGTTCCACTGCCTGCCTCACAAGGTCCCAAGTTCAATCCCCCAGTACAAAAAAAAGAAAGCATGTACAAGGACCGATGCACAAAACTATGGATCTAGAAGAAAAGTCTTCTCAGAGGCTCAGTGGTGCAGTGCCTGCCTGGCAAGTACAAGGTCCTGAGTTCAATCCCTGGTTCCGAAAACAAACAAACAAACAAACAAAACTTTTCTCTACGTCCCAAGAGACTGCTAATTTGGATGACCAGATTCAAAACTGGGGAAAACGTTCTAGTATCTGACCAGCTTTATCCCATTTATTATCTCAAGGCTCATTTCTGCTTCTAAATTGTTGTGCTAGTAGTAATTGGGTCGTGTCTCACGCTCTCAGTGTGCGGCAGAGGGGCCCAGATCAAACAACGTCCGGAGAATTTAGAACCACAGGTCCCGATGGTTCAACCTCTACAAGCAAACAAAAGAAAGGGAGGTCTCTCGGACGCATTCTACATAATTTTGGGGAAAAATCATTTCATAATTAAATTATCCTTGGAGCCGTCCGAGGCCTGGTCTTCTTGCCCTCGAGTCAGGTTTGCCTTGCAGAAACATAACTCCGTTTTGCCTCTGGTCACAGCGGAGGCCTCAATGGTCCTGTGATGCTGAACACATCCTGGTTCTTTGAGAACCGCGTAATGATGATGATGGCAGTAAAAGTTTCACCTGGGGGAGGACAGATTCCTTGTTAGCCTGCTAGCTTGTCCCACCTGCTATTGTCAGAATGCTGTCCCTACTGCCCTCATCACCGCCTCATGCCCCCTCCAGTGACCGTGCACCCAGTAGACAGCGGCCAGCTGTGTCTTGTCTTTGCTTGCTCCGAGGCACTGCCCTCCTGGCCCCCTGTATACTATGAAATTATGCAAGTCTCTATCGTCTTTCTTTAGTCAGGTCAGACTGGAGGATTGATGGCTCCTGAATTTCCAAGATCTCAGTGGCCCAGTTCCAGGGGCAGCCTGGCATCGGCAACACCAGCTTGTGCTCTGGCAGTTTGCCCGGTGGCCGCTGCATGTGCCCCTCACGGCCCCATGGGAAGAGCGGACGTTCTCAGCCCCATGTGTCTGTCGACCAGACACAGGAATTTGGGAGTTTTGTCTCTTCAAAGAGTGAGTCTCTGAAATTACCAAATAATGCTTGTTTTGGATAAAACTTCAAGCCGGACAAAAGGAGAGAGCGAAGTCCACATCTCCCAGCCCACTGATTCCTCCTTGGCCACCCTGGGAAGAATTATGAAAGCCCTGACCCCCAGGTGTTCGGGGAAGGTCCAGGCCGATGCCAGGTTCTCCTGGGATCCTTGATTTAAATTTTCTCTGAAGGTAACTCTGGGCATGGTCGTCCATGGCCAGCCTCCGCCCTCCAGGACCTGGGGTGCCCGGCTGGGAAGCAGCGAGCCAGCCCAGAGCCCACAGCATCTGCCCACTGAGCGCCGCTGTCACGCTCGCTCCTGCCCACTTCTTCCCCGGCCAG